CTAGGTGAGGGTTCCTTGGGAACTAGGAACTTACGATTTTCCACCTTTCTTTGATTTTGGCCTTACAAAACCATGAGAACGCCCTGAGCTCACACAAGTCAAGTGTAACAGATCTTCTGCCCCACAGAAGCATAAAATTAATACATGGATACTGTTTTAAGCTACTAAATCTTTGGTAATTTATTACACAACAAGAGAAAACTAAGGTGGGTATTGTTTTCTTTATTGGGTTTAGTTTTAGAGCCTTATTTTATTATAAAACGACTATATGCTAATTTCCCTTCCTTCCTATTCCCCAAAGATTAACAGAATTCTCCTTTCAAAAATTTCCTATGACTATGCATGATATACAAGTGTGCCTATATGACTATATGCAGTCTAAAACACACACACACACACATATATATAAAATTTCACAACGTATTTTTTCACTTAACTATCTATCTTGGGCATCAATCTAATATCAGAACATGAAAGTCTATCTCACTCTTTGTAACAACCTTGCAGTGCTGGATTGTACCTCTGAACCATTTTCTATGAAACCAGTCCCCTACTGAAGGACAGTTAAAATGACGTTAAATGATGAAGTGGAAAAACTTCACTTTCCATTTGCTATTTACAAGTAGCTGGACTTGTTATTTTCTGTTATTTTGTGAGAATCTCACCAGATAATTTCCTAGAGATGAATTGGCTGGGCTGAGGGGTAAATGAAGTTGCAGTTTTAACCAACAGTGCAAACTGCTAACCAAAATGGTTGCACCAATCACATCGACACTGTTATCATGTGGCAGGGCCTCCTTCTCTACAATCTTGCTGTCATTGGATTCTGTCACTTTTATAAAATTTTTGACAGTATGCTAGGTGAATGATACTCTTATGGCTTACGTTTCTCTCATGATTCCAATGAATCATTTCTTATTTTGGGGGGCACATTTCAATTTTTTTCTGTGATGTGCCACTTACATCTTTTGCCCATTTTTCTCCAATTTATACAAGCTCTTTGTGTATGTATTAATGCAATCAGATATTTATCAAGTATGGGCAGAAAAATATTTCTCACACTTTGTTTTCTTTTGATTTTATTTACTACAGAGAAATTTTCATGTTACGGGAGATATACTAGTCTTTTCCTTTGGGGCTTCTGGATTAAATTTCATACTTAGAATCTTCCTGGAACTAGGAGCCTGTGATTTTCTACCTTTCTTTTTTTAAAGGGACTCCTAGTCACTGCTCTTTTGGGAATCCCTGGCTCTCAACAAACATGATTTTATTTGTAGAGATAAGCTCCAGAACACGATGCCAGGCTCTCTTTTTCCTTAGAGCACTATTGACACATCCACACAAATCAACTCATGTTCTCATCCCTACTAATTCATTTGACAGGGGATCAATTCATGTGTCAGTGAGGAGTGGCCTGATTCACATAATCCTGACCTAAAAAAAAAAAAAAAGAAAAGAAAAGAAAGTCTAACTCTATCTTGGGTCAGAAAGCACTGAAAGATGGTAGTTTTTCTTTCTCTTGTGTTTCGTAAAGACATGCAGGAATTCTCACCGACGTTCTGTGCTTCAAACACATGACACAGAAGACAGTGACGGGAAGGCAGAGGTGATGCGGCAAGGTGAGTGCGCAGGCATTCACCATCCTCAAGACAGGGGGACTGGTCTTTATTTAATTTACGTTTTCCTTCTCTTGTTATACGTAAATAGGAAACAACCAGATTGCGATAAATACCATTTCTCACAAAGAAAGTCTGACAGAGTTCTACAGGTTCTGAGTGAATAATAACCTGTGGGCTCTTCTGAGTGAATAATAACCTGTGGCTCTTCAACTGAAGGAAAAATGCTGTCAGAACCCGACAGACGGGCTTCTCTCTGCCCACTCCTCTGACTAAATACTAAAATTATGTTTGAAGAGAAAAGAATTCAAGCTAAGTCTACATGGAGAAAAAGAAAAATAATTAAAAGGTTCATTGAAGTCTTCACCACATTTTCTCTACTCTCAGTATTAGCACTGAAGAAAATCACAGCAATAAGACTCATCAACAGGGACATAAACTAGGGCACAATTACTACAGAACACTACAGAAAGGAGTAGGATTGAAGTTTTTATTTTTAAAATATTTTATTTATTTATTTGACACAGAGAGAGAGACAGCGAGAGCAGGAACACAAGCAGGGGGAGTGGGAGAGGGAGAAGCAGGCTTCCCGCTGAGCAGGGAGCCTGATGCGGGGCTCGATCCCAGGACCTTGTGATCATGACCGGAGCCGAAGGCAGATGCTTAATGACTGAGCCACCTAGGCGCCCCAGGATTGAAGTTTTTAATCACTACTGAATTACACGGAAGAAATAAGATTCATGATACACTTAGCACTTGTATATACTGCTGGGCACTGTGCAAGGTGAATATAAAGATAAAATTCCAGGGGCGTCTGGGTGGCTCAGTCAGTTAAGCATCCAACTCTTGATTTCAGCTCAAGTCATGATCTAGGGTGGTGAGATGGCACCCCACGTCGGGCTCCATGCTGGGCGTGTAGTCTGAGATTCTCTCTCTCCCTCTGCCCCTCCCCCCGCCCCACATGTGCACGTGCTCTCTCTCCCTCTAAAAAAAAAAAAAAAAGATACAATTTCAGCTCCCAAGTAGGTATTTGGCCTTGCTTGCCCCTCAAGTCAACTTCTACTGTTCTGATGATAGTGTAATACAGATCCCCATGGTATAAATGGTAATAATAGAAATAGATGGGTACTCATCAAGCAACTGGGGAAATCCAGTATTACCAACTGCTCACCCCACCCCCCAGTGACATCCCTGTCATACCTTTTCAGAGGTAACTACTACCATGAAGTTGGTCTTTAAAATGATCATGTTTTCTTTTAGACTCTTAAAAGAATGGATATACACATTTATGAGTATATGTGTGTATCCCTAAACAAAATTCTCTTTATAGCCTCATGCTAACCTTACATGAATGGTTTCAGCCATCTTCTTTTGCAACTTGGCTTTTGCCGTCTAACACTCTCAGAGTTGCATCCATGCGGACACGCGCAGCGCTAATACATTTTGTGCACAGTGCTCTGTGATGACTATGCCACAATTCATTCACCCATTTTCCAATCAAAAGCTTCTTAGGTGGCTTCAGATGTTTAGCTATTACAAACAATGCAGCTATGAACAGTCTAGAACATGCCTTCTTATGTATATATGCAAGAGTTTCTCTCAAGTTCTACCTGGGAATGGCATTTCTGAACTTCAGTGGTCTTGCTTTAGTATCGGAATTTTATCAATTTTATCAATTCCAATTTTGCTTTGCCGTCTTTTATTTATTACTAAAGGGAAAATAAAGTTTCATTCCAAAGGGGCAACTATCTCTCTCTCTTTCTTCTTCCCAAACATGTTACAGGTAACTCCCAATCTCAACTTGAAAGCAACCCTTGAGGAAAGAGTCACAGCCCTACTTTTAAGTAGGAAATGAGTATCATCTGAAAGCCCATCAGGGTTAGAATTTCCACCAGAGTACAATGACTTAGGGCTTACTCATTCATCCTTCCCACCCATCATCCTCCAGAATCCTCAAGACAGCTTCTCAAAACACAGATCCTCCTCAAAATCCTTGAAAGGTAATCAAAATCAAAATTCCTTATACTCTCTGACTTTCCACCTTCATATTCTCTTAAACCCAACACACATGCCCCACTCCAGCCACACTGGTAATTCCCCTTTCCCCCCCATTTCTACCAGTCCAAGTCTTGCCTGGCTTTCAGCAACCTAAGTGGCTCCTTCAACTCTCCCATACTTTCCTGGTTGGAATTAATCTTTCTCTTCCTTGCACCATCATGGATGTAACTTAAAAAAAAAAAGGAAACAAAAACAAAAACAAAACAAAACCCCAATATTCAAAGCAATCTTCACTACACAGTTTTTCTAATATGGCTATACCTTCCTTATAATTAGTACTTGAGGCTAAGGTCTCATATCTTCATATTCACTGTCCCTATAATGATTATAGATGTAATAAATAAGTTATATCTGCCACTGCCAGGCAAAACTTGAGATAAACTCTTGCACACATACTAGAGAAGACACATTCTAGACTGCTCATAGCAGCATTATTTGTAATAGGGAATGTAAGTAATGGGTAAGTTCAAGTTTAGGGAGAATAAATGCTGAATTGTTCTGATGGAGGTTAAGACACATGGCCTCAAAATATGGCATCCCGACCAACAGTATTTTAAACTGAAGAAATAGGAGAAATGCCATGTGCAGGAAGGTTCTTCAGATCTGCACCTAAAGCACATCATCAAGTCCTCGTGTGAGAGGGGTCCTCTCTGTTACCTGGGGAAAGGAGCATCCTGATTTCTGAAAACAAGGAACACAGAGGACTGTGAACGTACAGCCATTGCTCAATTTGCCCCAGTTTACTAGAGTTAGCTCATTTCTGTCCTGTACTTGCACAACTTTTCACTCTTCATCAAACCTAGCATTAATATATGCAGGTTAACCACGTCTTTGGGTCTTCATTTCCTTACAAAGGCTCCTGTGTCACAGAAATCTTCTATTAAATAAATGTGTTTGCTCCTCTCTTGTTAATCTGTCTTTGGTTAGGAGGTTCCCAGTCGAGAACTTAGAAGCATAAGGAAAAATATATTTCGCCTCCCCTAGAGTTCTTAACACTGACCCTCTTCATGTGAACTAACACATCTGCATTCCCCAAAGATAATCCAACATGGAAACAAGTCTTGCATCATTCACAGATTTAGAAATGGAAAAATAAGTAATTGAAAAAGGATTCCATATAAAAAGAAATTCTCAATTTCAGTGTCCAAACACTCTGAAAGAGAGGATGAGGGTTGGGCTAACTTATCAGAAAGAACAATGTACTGATAAAACAAAAGGAAAACCAAGAGAAGCTAGAAAGACATACCTGAATTTCAAAATGCTTGGATTATTTTAACAACCAGCAAAAAGAAGTAAAACACAACTCAAGAAAGGGTAAGTCATTACCTGCATGAGCAGAGAGAGGTGAGTGTGGTCGAGGCAATGCTGGTGACTGTCCATTGCCTATCAAGCTTTTCCGGTTGCTTGTTCGGCAACTGCCAAAAGGAAAAACAAAATCAGAGTTTTAAAAAGCAAATATAATGCCAGTAAATGTCCAGGTATATTCAACCTACACACATACTAGAGGTTCAGCAACCTATCTGCTCATGTTGTGGCTTAAATTTTTGCAAGTTCATAGGCACTCACTAATATTTGAGGGGTGGCTGCCTCCTGAATATTAGAAAATATAATGTATTCATATAGCATAACACCATCAATATTCCTCACCACCAGTGAAGTTGTAATCAAATGCCTTCTCTCTGCTCCTGACTGCAAATAGGTGACAAGCCATACACCCAAGTGATAAATTAAGGATTCAAATCAGCAAACCACAGGTAGCATCTCTGCTGACATGAAATTTCTAATACGAAATTACATGCAATGAAGCGCAATGACATTCATCTTACAATGATGCACTAATTAAAAATCTAATTATTTAGACAAATTTCCCATTTGTGCCTTTTGTCAATAGAACAGCCGATGCCCAAGATGTATTTCACTACTGATTCATTTTTCATCCTGTATACTCCATTCAAATTCCTCATTAAGGTAAATATCTTGGAATCATAAAAACAGATTCCAGTTGGTATTAAAATAATAGCGAAAGCCTTTTGCCAAAGGCACACTACCTACTGTTTTTGTCCTGGGTACCCACTCAATAGAAACAAACTGCTACATTTGGGCAAAGGGCAACTACTTTTTCCTGATTCTGCCAGGACCAAGTTATAAAATGCCTCCTTGGATTCGAAAGTAACTCACAAGCAGCAAAGAATAAGATAAACGTGAAACTGGTTGATGATGAGGTGAATATTATCTCCTTTTCATTTACTTTCCCTTCAGTGCAGACTGGCACTGCATTCTCTATTAACAGGATAGCAGTGAGAAAAAGGGGAATAAAAACCAACCTCACCAAATTCACCTATAATAAGGTTCAGGGCACTGTGATTATGTCCTCCTACATTTAGGCCGCCCTCAAACACCATTTAAGGTTTATCGTAATGTCTTCTTTAATTCAGAATATACCTGTTACAACAGGTGCTTCAAAGAGAAGTTTTCACCTGACTTCTAAATTAGGTATTGTGGACGTTATTTGAGGGTTTGCACAGAATATTTGAAAGGAACATTTCTCAATATTCAAATAATACATTTCAAAACCAAACTCAATTCCTTTCAGCAATATTAACTTGGGAACCAATCCTCTCCCTTAAAGGTTTGCTGCTTATTATCATTTGTCAACATTCCCATATTTATAATTTCTTAAGGTCAGGCTGCATCATTTTATTTTCCTTACTGGAACAATCAACATCCCTTAGCATTATCTATGAGTGTAATTAAGATCATGTTTACTCAGCCTTAAAGAAGTTGCTGATTAAGAATAGGCCCTTGATACTTAATTATAAAGGTGGATTGTGATATTATCAACTCATCTGTTAAGAACCATATTTGACCTATTAAATTCAAAATTCGTAATCATTAAATCAGATAGTATGATTGTTTTAAAAAGATACTTTATAATTTATTTCGTGTTAATTCAAATCAATGTCTTCTTTCATTCCAATACAGGAATATTTAACATATCAACCTGCTAATGTTAATAAAAGAAATTACAAATGACAGATTTATACCCTGGAAATCTCAGCAAAGTTATTTGTTTATTTAAGCAAATTAACTGAAATACGAGTTAACTGCTAGAAAAATGGCTATATTATTTTTTACATTTAGTATTTGATCTAAATCACTTACAAAGATTTTTCCCTCGACGTTCAATTATTAGTGCTTATATATGTAAATAAAATTTTCAGTAAGAAATGTAAATCAACAGAAATAGTAACCTAATGATTATCTCCAATAGGGATACTGGTGAAATATGAGAACTTAAAATCTAAAAAATGGTATTTCTTAAAGAAAACCTTAAAAAACTGAATCCTTTTTTTTTTTTTTTAAAGATTTTATTTATTTATTTGACAGAGAGACACAGGGAGAGAGGGAACACAAGCAGGGGGAGTGGGAGAGGGAGAAGCAGGCTTCCTGCCGGGCAGGGAGCCCAATATGGGGCTCGATCCCAGGACCCTGGGATCATGACCTGAGCTGAAGGCAGACACTTAACGACTGAGCCACCCAGGCACCCCCAAAAACTGAATCTTCCTAACAAACATACAGAATGACTAGTACACTACTACGGGCAAAATAAATAGACAATGATTTAAATTTAAAACAAAGAAAAACAAAAGAAATTTTCAAAATGATGTCAGTAATTTAAAGCCTACGAAGAAAAGGCAGGAAAGTTCTGATTTTAACAATGTGACTCAAAAAAAAAAAAAAAAACCTCACAAAGAAATCTCTAAATAAAACCTGGAAATGGAATATACTTGTTTGCTTACTGTAAAAAATAAAAATACTTAGTAGAAAAATAGGATAAAAGTTTATATTACATTCACCCTGTGTTTGCCTACTCTCTATAAAGACTGTCATCTTTACAAACAAATGATTATGAATGCAATTTAGAGCAAAAGAAAAAAGGATTCTTCATCTATGAATATGGGAGCAAGAAAAAAAGTTAAAAACAAGGTACAGGGAATATTTCATACAAAACCTTAAGTAACCAGAGGCCTATCTTATTTACAAATGCTATGAACAATCAAAGCTGAAAGGGTCTTCTGTAACCTCTCTATGGATCTCGAGCATGAAGGTAGAGACAGTATTAAAATTACAATAGACTTGAACTTTCCCGAATCTCCCGGCAATCAAACAAGAAGCTTTTAAACATGAACTACAAAACTAGACTTTATAAAATACAGATTCCTATGTATACACAAAATAAATCTCTCTACTCATGAAGTAGTGTCTTGTTTGGCCTCGCAAATAAATTTATTTATTGCTAACATTCTTTAAGGGTAAAGAGGAATTTTATACTGTATTTAACCCCAAAATACCTAATTCTTGATAGATAGATATATATAAATATTAGTGCTTTTAAAATCCTAGGGTCCTACTGAGATATTCTGTAGACAACTTTCCTCGGGTGGGGGAGACTGGCAGTCATCCAATCTCAATACAGCTTGCTTCCAATATCTCAGACAGTCACTTCATTTTATTGCTCTAGGTACCTGGTTCCCAATGAATGAATTAAATTCTCATTTTAGGGGAGCCTGGGTGGCTCAGTCAGTTGTGTCTGACTCTTGATCTCAACTCAGGTCTTGATCTCAGGGTTGTGAGTTCAAGCCCCACACTGAGCTCCACACTAGGCGTGGAGCCTACTTAAACAAATGAATAAAAAATAAGATCTGATTTTAACCCATAGTAAAACAATTCCTAGTTGGCAGGACCTATGAGGGTTTACTACCTACACTGCCACAACACCTGGAACTGCCCACATTGATGACACTGGTACAAAATGCTGAGCTGACCTCTGGGGTCATCATTTATTCATCCAGGTTATCATGCTCTTTCCTGCAGATGTAAGGAGAAGCTCATGGAATCCAAGTACAAAACAAGCTTCCCAAGTGGCCGTGACTGCACCACACTCATTTAACCCAAGAAGTGAAGAAAGAGGAGATACACTGCCACTTGGACAAAATCAAGGTTCATTCCCTATCCCCAGTATGACCAAGTCAATTCAAGCCTTGCTTGCTTTTTCTCAAGCAGGGTCATCCCAGGAAAAAACAGGGGATGTCCTACCAGGTAGAACAGAAATATCACTTCTACTGCAGCAGAAATCTCAACTTGCTTAAAACTTATCCTCGCCAAAACATATGAGCTTGTAGAATTGTCTCCAGTTTTCAGCCTTCAGAACAAAGGTGACTGCAGAAGTCAAACTGAAGAACAGTTATAAACTCATGTTTCAGCTATGCATTCTCTCCGCTCCACTCTTTAAAAAGGAATGGAAGCCATTCTCCCTACCTCTGCTTGGATCTGGAAGCCCAACACAGGAATATCCACTCCCCACGGGGCACCTCCACCCTTTAGTTCTGCACTTGAAGCAACACAGGGAGACGCTCCGCTGTTATATCAATCAGGCACTCCAAACTGTTTTATCATTTTGGAAGGTGACGCAACGGCACAGATTCTTTACTTGCAAAACCTGACTTGGGCCCAAGAAGCAGCCACAGACAACTTGAGACAAAGACAAAGGCAAACAGTGGACCAGGACAGAGAATGATGATGCCAAGGTAAGTATTTCTCTTTACCTCATTCCTTTGGTTCCTCCACCCACAAACGAACTACACACATCCATACAACGAGCACACGGTACCACAGATATTGCCGACCGTGGACCTGGGACCTGAGAAGAATGGAAGGTGGGAAGGCATTGACGGTACTTTGAAGTGAGTGGGCTGGCTAGCCCCTGGGGGCTGGGAGGCAAGGCAGGGAGAGACCGATGCCCGAGAGGAACATCACAGCTGGATGGGCACTTGTGGGGGCGGGGGGGCAGACATGCTGTAGAGTGACACAAGGCCAGCACAAGAAAGTGTTTTGTCTGCCTGGTTTTTGGCTCTGGCAGGTGAAGTGAAGATTGCACAGGGCACCCCTCCTACTCCGAGTTCACTGTTCCCATCACCAAAGCATTCTACAAGGAGCTGGTCCATTTCCTAATCAACACCAACAGTGCCTTCCACTTGTCAGGAAGATAAAGAGACAGATCGTGCATTTTATTTTTATTTTTTTTCAAATATTTTATTTATTTATTTGAGAGAGTGAGAGAGAGAGCACACAGAGGGAGAGAGAGAGAGAGAGAGAGAAGCAGACTTCCTGCCGAACAGGGAGCCCGATGCAGGGCTCGATCCCAGGACCCTGTGATCATGACCTGAGCCGAAGGCAGACGCCCAACCGACTGAGCCACCCAGGTGCCGGAGACAGATCCTGCATTTTACCATTTAAGTCAGGCCTGACTCAAAAGTGTGAGGCAAGAGCGGTATGCAGGCTGCCACACTGAAGGAGAGGAGGGGAACATGGTATACGTATTTTGGGTCCAACGCAACAATATTCTTTATTTGCG